ATGGATGGATGGATGGATGGATGGATGGATGGATGGATGGATGGATGGATGGATCAATGGGTGCATGAATGGATGGATGCATGCATGGATGGGTGGAAGGATGGGTGGGTGAAAGGATGGATGGATGCATGGGTGCAATGATGAATACATGGATGGATGGATGGATGCAATGGGTGCACGGGTGGATGGACAGATGGATGGACAGCATCCTGCCAGGACTGGGCAGAACCAAGGCCCCCCTTGGTGTTTCAGAAGTGGCGAGGAGAAGCAGTGAGCCCTGGTGACGTGCCCCATGCAGGAGCCAGCTCCGGGCACACTCACCTGTTGATGAGGTCCTCATTGCTGTCGCTCTCCATCTCATCCTCGATGGCAGCCTGCAGGTCCCCAATGCGCTTGAAGGCCAGCTTCAGGTCTGACTGCAGGCTCTGGTTGGCAGCTTCCAGGCTCTCCAGGTCCATCTCCTGCGGGGAGAGTGGGGTGAGCCTGGGCTGTGGGGAAGGGGAATCCCAATTTGTGGGGGCTCAGCAGTGATGCCCTCACCAGCTCGTGCTTCTTGCGGCTGGCCTCCGCCTCCTTCTTGGCCAGCTCGCCCATCTCCTCCTTGACATCACGGAGCTGCCGCTGCAGCCTCTTGTTCTGCTCCTTCTCCCTGTTCTCGGCAGCTGCTCGCTGGTCCCGCTCCTCCGTCAGCTTCTCCATGTTCTCCTTCAACCGCGTGGCCAGGCTCTGCGGAGCAGCAAGCGTTCTCCCTGTGCTCCATCCACCCATACACACACGCATCCATTCACACGTGCATCCATGCATTCACCCTTCCACAGCTCTGCCCCCTGCGTACCCCCCACCTGGCAGTAACACCCACCCCCTGTGGTCCTCACACCAGGAAAGATCCCAGCCCCATGAATTTACATGAGGGGATAGAAAAGAGGTAGGGGGGGGAATGAGAAACCACCCCCCTGGGGCCAGGGAAGGGGTAGAACAATTGCAGGAGCTTTGGTGAATTGGAAAAATAGATTTAACTTTGTGTGAAGTAATTACAGCATGTAATGTAGGGAAAAAATAGCTTCCATTCTCTGCCAGCCGCCGAGCCAGCCGCTGCATATTTATGGCCCCGGCAGAGAGAGCGGGGAGGGAAATAACAGCTAGGAAAATATTAAGAGGAGAGCTAAGCTGCTCAGTTCCCCCGGCAGAGAGCTGCAAAGGCAGAATATAAAGCAGGCTGCGTTTAGTGGGGTTGGGAGAGTCTATAATTTCACTAAGTCGATGCGGGGAAATAGCAGCACTTTGCCAGGCTGGGTGGTGGATTACGGTTATCAGCGCCCGCGGGAGCAGCGCTGTGCAGCACGGGGGGCCCAGGATGGTGGTGGTCACAGCACTGTGACACTGCTGTGGGGACTGAGCATGGGTCTGTAAGGGAGATGACAGTGCCCACCTCCAGGCGCTTGACTTGTGTCCGCTCAAACTCCAGCCTGGTCTCCAGCTCACGGATCTTGGCCTCCTGCCTGCTCACCAGTGACTTGTCCACCATGGACTGCTCCAGGAACTCCAGCTGGCTCTGCAGCCCTTGCAGCTGCGGGGAGGCAGCCTCAGCACCAGCATCCTGCCCTCCCCACTCTGCCCCGCTCTGGGGACGGCCCCCATGATGCTGGGGGACCCATAAGGTTTTTAGGTGCTCCCACCCCAGCTCGGCTCCTCACCTTCTCCTGCAGCTCCTGCTTCTCCTTGCTGACCTCCTCCAGCTGTGCCTGGAGGTCGTTCATCTGTGCCAGGTCACGGGACGCCTGCGAGATGAGCGGGGCTGTTAGCGAGGCGGGCAGGGGAGTGGTGTTAAGGGCTGTGGATGCCCATCCTCACCTGGGCCACTGCTGCTTTGTGCTTCTTCATCAACTCATTCATGTCCTCCTGGTCTTCCTCCAGGCGGTTCTGTACCTCATTCTTCTCCCGCTGCAGCCGGCTCAGCTGCTCTTCCAGCTGGGGGGAAAGAACATCACCACTGCACCACGCACCTCACCCTGTCCAGCTGAGCCCCCAGGCAAGGGAGCACAGCATGGGCAGGGTTCTCCCCATGGGCATGTCCCCCTCTGAGTGGGAGAGCTCCCGAAATGCCCTACCGCTGCCTTGGCTTTGGAGAGGTCATCAATCTGCAGGTGAAGGTCTTCAATCTCCACCTCCATGGACTTGCGGGCTTTGACAGCAGCTGCGCAGGTGAACTCGGACTCCTCGAGCTGCAGGAGCACAGCTCAGCACCCAGCCAGGGGGCAATGGGACACCCCCAGCCTCTCGGGGCCACGCACCTGGTTCTTGAGCTGGGCGATCTCCCTCTTGCTGGGCGCGTTGTTCTTCAGGTGGTCCAGCATGATCTGTGCATCGGCCAGCAGTGCTTTCGTCCTCTTCAGGTCGCGGCGTAGGCGCTTCTCTGTCTCGAAGTCCCTCTGGTTGGCCTGCAGCAGAGGGTCCGTGCCATGCTCTGTGCCACGGCAACCCCCCCACAGGGTGCCCTGTGCCCTACCTGATCACTGACTGCAGACAGTTTGCTCTCCAGCTCCCGCTTTTCTCTCAACACCTTCTGCTTGTCCTCATACTCCTCCTCCAGCTGCATCTCCATCTGCTTCAGCTGTGGCAAGAACCATCACGTCATAGAATCACAGAATTGCAGAACCATAGAACCATCAAATCATAGAATCTAGAACCATAAAATCACAGAGCAGCTGGATTGCAAGCGATTACAGAGCCCACCCAGCCCCAACCCTCTGCTGTGGGCAGATTGCTACTCATGGGGTTGGCC